CCGATGCTCGCCCCCGGGGACCGCTCTCCGCACCCGCCTCGCCCGCTCGCCCGCTCGCCCCTCCACTTTCCCTCCATCCGCTCGCGGTCCCTCCATGCTCCTTCCTCGCGCTGTCCTCTCGCGCCTCCGGGGCTCCGGTCCCTCCGGGCGCCTCCTCCCCGCTGCCGCCCTCCCCCAGGCGCGGTCCCATCTCCATCATCTCTCCATCCCCTGCTCGCCTCTCCTCCGCCGCTCTGCCCTACTGGGATCCTCATCCCTCCACTCCTGGCCCTCCACCTCGACTCCGCCGACCCCAGCGCCTCCTTGCCCCCCAGCTCCGGAGTGGCCCCGCTTCTGAGACCCCCGGCCTCCGAGTGTCTTCCGCACGCCCCCCACCACTCAGCCCTCGAGTGTCTCCCGCACGCCCCCCGCACCGCCTCGATCTGGCTGGGCGTTTGCCCCTCGGCTCTCCCTGGCCGGTGCCTTTTCTGGCGCTCGGCCTCCCCCGAATTGCTTTGTTCACGTGCGTCTTCTCTCTGGGCGGGGGCGGGAAGAGCCGGGTCCTCTGAGAGCCGAACGGGTCCCACGCCCGCAGGGAGTGGACCTGGGCTGGGGTCGAGGGGTGAGCCGGGGGACGCGGGGGGCCGGCGGGGCGGGGCCGGCCCTTTATTTACCTTTGGCTGCGGGAGGGGAGGCGCCTCATCAGCCGTCTTCTCCCTCCAGCCTCCGCCTCGCCACCACCCCCTGATCCCCCGCCCCAGGGACTACACTCTTGCAGCTCGACAGATTCATCCAGCCCTCTCCCAAACCCCACATTTTCCCCTCGCCGACTCCCAGTTTCTCCCGCCTACACGCCCCAGTGACCTCAGGCTGAGGGAATAATTCGTATTATTACAAACAAGCTCACTCTCCGAAAGCCCGATTTCTCTGAAACCCGATTTATTTCCATGGCTACCCCCCTCCTCCTCCGCGTTCACCTCCTCTCCCCGTGGCTTTCCCTCCCCCTCCCTGCCCCCCAAGGCTCTGACTCAGCTCTCCCTCTCCACAAAGACCACCTCTCCTCCTCCCCTCCCACCCTGCCCTCTCCCATCTCCTCAGAGACTGTCCTCTGACTGCCCCATCCCTGCCGTCTGTCCTAGTGCCCATCTCCCACCGCCCCAGCCCCAGCCTTGCGTCTCTGAGCCACTCTCCCTTAGCCCCCTGGGAGGGACAGGGTCCCTTTACCTGGAGTCCCCTTCATTTCACACCAGCTCTGCAGCTGCACACGGAGGCCCCCATGTGCCCCAAAGCCCATTCCATGCTGTGTCCCCCAACCTGAAACTTAGAATCCTGAGACTTCACGGTAAGAAGGGCCTGTAAGGTCAGGTGCTTCAGCGGACCTTCTGGTGCCTGGATCCCTGTAGGATCCCAGGGCAGGTCCCCCCACCCCTTGAGACTTTCAGAAGGCACTCCCTGCCCTCCTGTCTGAGTCTCCTTTTCCGAGGAGTCTGGGCCTCACCAGATGGATGGCCGTGCTCCGAGGTACTTGGCTTTCCCTGGCAGGCTTCAAACTATGTCCACTCCCTCTTCTCTCTGACTTAGCTTCCTATTCTGTTCATCCTTATTTTGAAAGTCCTCTTCTTGCCTTCTGCCCTCCCCTTCCCTCCTCTTTAATCCATCACTTGTCTTCCATATTCAGGTGTAATGTCTCCTTCTCACCCCTCTTCTCTGCTCTGCTGCTCCTGGAGGGACACACCCAACTCTTGCTGCTCAGCTCCTGCCTCTATCCCTACCATGGCTCTTCCCCTGGCCCTTAGGGAACACCCACCAGGGAAGACCCTGTCCTCCCACCACAGACAGGAAAGCCCATGTGGAGAGACCCTTCCCTCCTAGAAATGCAATAGACGAAAAAGCCCAGGTCCCAGGTAGAAACCCTCAAGGATTCCTTTCTGCTAAGTCCCAGCCCTGACCCCTCAGTGTATTTAACAACAGCAAAGGGGTTTTACTGCACTTGTTCTGCACCTGCTATTCTTGGTTGTATTAAAATGGAATATTTTGGCTTAGCATTACTATTGCTCTCACCAAAAGTTGGGGGAGCCAGGCAGCAGGTAGCATGGAGGAGAAGGCAGCTGGATCCCACATGGCTGACTGTGTGGTTTGAGTCCCAGGCCTGGTGGTTTGAAAAACACACCAGGTGTGTGTGTGTGTGCGCGCACGCACGGGCGTATGTGTGATTAAAATCTTGAGATTGAAGGAGAAGGGTCTGTGGCATGGCCATTCCCCTTGGGGGGGGGGTGATTTTTCACTTACCCATTCTGTCTCCCTCTCAGATGAGTGCATGTGCCCCAAGCAAAAATTAAACAAAGAAACAAAAACTGGAGAGTGTAAGAGGTTGAAAGACAGCAGGCAATCAGAAAGAGTGGCAGCCAAAGGAAGGGGTGGGGAGAGGAAGGGCTGGTCCCCTGGGAGGCCCTGGCATCCTTTTGGAAAGGCCAGGGAGGCACACAGGGAGGGGAGAGCAAAGCAGCTAACCTTCTGGCCACTGCAGGGAACGAGGTGATCGCAGTGGACTGGAAGGGCCTGAAGGATGTCGATCAAATCAACATGGATAGCACCAGCTCTCTGCACGGGAGCAGCCTCCATCGGGCCTCAACTGAGGTGAGCCCTGCACTCAGCTGCCCAACACAGACCTTCTGAAATGACGCCCTGGATCTTGAGTTGCCTGGTCCTGGAGTTCCCCTCCTGAACTCCAAGGACACATCCCCCAACACTCCTTCCGATGGACACTTTGTCCTAGTTCCTATGTTAACCTAAGGACAATCTTCCCCACCTCATACACCTACAGAAGTCCCTCTGGATAACTGGGGTTACTTGCATCTTTCGAGGTGCCTGGGTTACTCACTCCCTTCTCTCTTCACAGCAAACTCGAACTGATTTCTCCTGGGATGGCATTAATGTAAGTGCAACTGTCCCTAGATCTCCCCCGTCATCCCCAATGTCTCTCCTTGGAGTCTCCCATAAAACACAGTGCTCTCTGGCTCTGCAGGCACTGGGAGCTCTCACATTCTCTACCTGTTCCCCAGTTTTCAAGGGTGGTGGAGACATGTGCCTCCTTGGGACTGGTGGGAATACTAGCTTTCCCTATTGCATGCCCTGGTTCCCATCCTCCGTCCTAGAAACCACGGCCTCTTCTCCGTGTATTGACGCCCCCATACCTGCCTTCTGATTCCTCTGCCCCTCCTCCCACATTCCCTATCCCAGCTCTCCATGGAGGACACCACTTCTATTCTTCCGAAGCTTAAACGCAACTCTAACGCCTATGGCATTGGGGCCCTGGCCAAGTCATCCTTCTCAGGTGAGACTTCCTATCTGGGCATGCTTCCAGATGGGAAAATACCCATGGGTTCCTGGTCTCGGTCTTTCTGCTCCGTAGGCCTGTTGAAGACCCTCATCCTACCTCCATTATTTACTCCTCGTGTGTGGAGTCCTGGGGTTATCTGCCCCAAGGGGATGTAGCCCCCTGTCACTGGGGTGGAATGATGGGGAGGGTCCAATGTTGATATTGTGTAATATTCTCGAAAATGTGGCAAATTTCTGGCCTCTAGGGATCTCACGAAGCATGAAGGATCATGTGACAAAGCCCACAGCCATGGGGCAAGGCCGAGTGGCCCACATGATTGAGTGGCAGGGCTGGGGGAAGGCTGCCACCATTCAGCCGCAACACAGCCATGAGGCCGTGCGCAGGGATACAGATGCCTACTCTGACCTCAGCGATGGCGAGAAGGAGGCTCGTTTCCTTGCAGGTACTTGTACCCTGGGCCCTCAAGAGACAGGTGTTCAGGATGGCCAGAGACTGACCTCCAGCCTGACCCCCTGTGGCAGGATCAGCTTTATCCATATGCTGACCATAGGCTTACATTTCCCAGTGACTCTAATTTGAAGAATTTGGACTTCTTAATTCAGATCAGTGCTCTCAAGCATATTTTTATTATCTCAGAAAATCAGGGGAATTGGATAGGGTTTGTGTGTCCACCTGTTCGGAAACCCCACTTTCTACATTGTGGGAGTGTCCCACTCTGGACTTGTACTAACTCCCTTAGTATAAGAAAAAAAATGCAAGGGTCTTGGGCTTTGAAAGGCTCAGGTTCTGCTCACATTTCTAGATGGAAAAGAAAGGCCTTAGGGATCTGTTCTAGCCTTTCCCCTCTAGCATTTAGTGTCTTGGGTGCACTCCCCAGACTCATTACTTGGGATAGCACTAGCGGACCCAGGGAACTGAATGAGGAGATGGTGGTCTACAAAAGAGGATTAGTGTCAGGAAAGGAGTGGAGGCCATTAGATAGGTATGCAGTGTATCTACAAGGGTGGCCAAGTCCTAGTGCCAGGTCTTGTAAGAGACCCAGGAAGAGTGATAGGTCTGGAAGAGAAGAGAAGAATGTCCGTGTTGGTAGACGCATCAGTGGGGAGAGGTCACAGATGCATAGGGGATACTGAGGTAAAGTCGAGTAGTAGCGATGTATCCTCCAACTGACTCATGGCGTTGACCAAAATAGGGACCCCAAGTCTACCCATCCCCCTATTATACCCTCTCTTTGCCTACGGATCCCCCTGAACTTTCACCTTTATATCTCTGTGGACCCACAATTTCATCATGCTCCCTTGGGGGTTCTTTACTAATCTCGAAACCTACCTTTTAGATTTCTTTGTCATTGACCACCTAATACGAGATACAATTCCAAAAAATTTGCAATGATAAATTTCTGGGAAATCCCTAATTTTAATCTCCAGGAGACTCTCAACTCTCTCCCCTGAGAATCCTGAATCTGACCTTCTGGAGAATCCCCCATAATTTTGCCTTGTTTTAGGACATATATGAAGGCCACACTGTCCTATGTAATAGCCACTGGCCATGTGTGTCTATTAGACACTTGAAGTCTGGCCAGTCCAAATGGAGATGTGCAAGTGTGAAGTCTGACCGGGTTTCAAAGACTTTGTATAAATAAAAGAAAATGAAATATCTCATTAATAATTTGGAATTGATTATATATTGAAATGATCATAGTGTTAATTAAGATTTATTATTATAACTTCTTTGACCTATTTAAGTATGGCTACTAGGACATTTCAAATCATAAAGGCAGCTTCGGCTGGGTTACTGTTACAGGTTGCACTGAGATGTCTCTGACCCCTCCCGTGTGTCCAGGGCTCCAGTAGGTTCTGTGCTAAGCTCACTTCTTCTCACAGGTGTCATGGAACAGTTTGCCATCTCTGAGGCCACGCTTATGGCCTGGTCATCCATGGATGGTGAGGACATGAGTGTCAACTCCACCCAGGAGCCATTAGGCTGCAACTACAGTGACAACTACCAGGAGCTGATGGAGAGCCAGGGTGAGAGATGGTTCCTGAATCCACCCCCTGCGAGCTGAGAAGCCTTCCCAGTAGAGGTTCAGGCCACCTCCGTTCAGCTCTGTTCCCTTAGGACTCCCTGCTCACCTCGGCTCTCCTCCACTCTGCCCTCCTCTCAGTTCTCTGTGTGGTAGTCCCTGCCTTTGACCTCTGGACCCCACCAACTTTCATGATTCTCTCCACAGATGCCCTGGCTCCTGGCCCCATGGATGGGTGGCCCCACTCCTACGTGTCCCAGGGCATGTACTGTCTGGGGTCCTCGGATGCCTGGGAAGCAAGCGACCAGTCTCTCATTGCCTCTCCAGCCACAGGATCCTATCTTGGCCCTGCCTTCGATGACTCACAGCCCAGCTTGCACGACATGGGGCCTTCCCAGCCTGCTTCAGGATACTCTGCTCAGGAGCCTCCACCTTTGCTGGGGGGAGACACTGACTGGGCTCCAGGGGTGGGTGGGGTGGACCTGGCCAGGGGCCCTGCTGAGGAGGAGAAGAGGCCACTGGCCACTGAGGAGGAAGAGGACGCGGGATGCCGGGACCTGGAGTCACTTTCCCCACGTGAGGACCCTGAGGTGTCCACTGTCCTCAGCCGGAAGGTGTCTGATGTCACGTCCTCAGGCGTGCAGTCCTTCGATGAGGAGGAGGGTGAGGCCAACATCTAGCTTCTCTCCCCCCACGGCCTGCCTTCCACTCCCGCCTGAGGGGCATGGCTGCAACCCATACCTTCCCTTCCCCCAGCAGTGCAGCTGACCCGGGAGCAGAAGACAGCAGAAATGCAGGAGCTTCCAGTCCTCGCCCGGACAACGGAGGACCAAGATGGGATGTCACACAGGCTTACTCTCTAGAAACCACAGGTCCAGGACCTGGGACCCAGGCAGCCAGATGGCTGCGAACTTGGCGTGACTTCTGGGCCTATGCCCAGGAAGCCCCAGCCCAGCGTGTAGCCTGAGGACAGGCGCTTACAACCCTGCAGGAGGAGCTGAATCTCAGTTCTCCACCCCCCACGTCATCTTCCAGGAGCCTTGGCTGTGCTGTCTGAACGCCTCCTTTCTCCATGTCACTCTTGCTTTCCCCAACCCTGTGTTTTTTCTGGCTGTGGCCCCAGTTCATCCCAACTGCAAGGACAGATCTCAGGGGCAGTCTGCGTGGAGGGTGGAGAGTCTGCCCTCCGCAGGGAACGCGGCTTCTGAAACCAGGAGTCGAGGAGGTGGACGTGCAGCTGGGAATTCGCAGGAGGCACGAGCATGATCCTTCCTATCGAGGCCTGCTCAGAGACAGGAGAGTCTCTGATGGGACCAGGAGCCAACATGGCCACTTGTTCTGGAATCTCAAGTATCCAGGGGGCTGAAAGGGGATCCCAAGGAACTGGGAACAGACCCAGCTTGTGCTTCCCTCTCCTCTTGCATCCCTGCTGGAGCTGCCCTGAGAAGGGAGGGGACACCAGTCTCTGATGTGCAGACTCAGGACGCAGGTGTCCCAACGGGGGGCATGCGGGCTGTGTGTCCCCCACCTCGAATTCTCTGGAGCTGTTTACACTTTTCTCTTTGCCTTTTCTACATTTTTATAACTTCTTGGGGACTCAGGGTTGAAGGGGTGGAGGGAGGAGTCCGGTGCTGTCATTCCCTAGGTCGGGCTGGGCTGTCGCTGAGGGCCAGGGTGGGCACTCGGCTCCTTCTATCCCTTGTCAGCACTCCCACGCCTCCCCAGGTGGCCTGCAGGTGTCCTCCCTCTGGGCAGCTTGCCCTCCCACACCCCCACACTGTGCTGGGCAGTGGGATCCTGAACAGCATTTCCATGAGTGCAGTGGACAGGGGGACAGGCAGAGTGGCTGCTGTGGAGCTGGCTTGCATCCCCCTGTGCCGCTTCGGTGGCTCACTTTCTGGCTCTTGGGTAGGAGATAGAAGCCTGAGAGGTTCACCGTCCTCTTTTCC